AAACTACCGTAATGGCTTCTAAACTTTTCACGTCTAAAGACACACCTTTCAATTAAAAATACTTTTGTTGATGAACAAATGCGATATAAAATATGTTGCATTCTAGCATTAGACATCGCAACAAGACATGCTTATAACCCAATTTATATTGCAATGTCATTTAAACATACAGGTATTATTTTTCGACAATGCAGTAATCACATTAGCTAGATTTGTAAGAAAATTGCTCTAATAGTAATGAACATTGTTAAAAGTGAAAAATATATTTAAACGTAAGTTGTTATTATTCTAGATATATATATTTAGCAGGAGTTTTACACTGTACGTAATAACTAAAATTAATTTAGGCCGATGTAAAAATCCAAATGTTGATAAGATTATGTAAAATGTTTTTTAATTATATTATAACTGTCTTTCTTATGTAACTTTTACTTTGTAACTGTTGCTTCTTATTTTCAGTTTTACATATTGTTCCCTAATTTACTACATTATTGTCTCCACGTAGGTTATCTTAACGAAGTCGGAGAATTTCTTTCGCATTTATTGAAAATCAAGGATTTAAATTAAAAAAATATATTAGTTTGCATATTTTGCGTTTTGACATATAAGTATTTTTCAAAAATGCAAGAGAGACGAAAATGATTTGATTGAATTGTTGGTGATTTTATAGAAAAAGACTAATTCCCCTTGAAAAGATAGGACCTTTCTACGGAATCGGCAACAATTTTTCTTGTAAAATATTTTTATGTGTTTATATCTAACAATTTCTTTTTTTATTTAATAAATGCAATAATTTTTGATTTTCACATTAAGTACTATCTTTAATAAGTTTTGCACTCTTCAAAATCTCAATCTTTCAATAGTTTTCTGTTAGCAATTAATTTTTTCTTATCATTTATTATTAGATACTTAAACTGAATTTAATTATCAACATTCATAATTTCGAAGCACATTCGCGATGGCTGAATGAAGCGAGAGGAAGAAGTTGATATTAAACTAAGTTCGGCCAATTATGATCTTCATTTCCAAATTTCCAGGCACACTAGAATAATTCCTCGTAGAAAATATACTCTTTAATCATAAGAATTACGGTAATTACTTAAACAATTTTTTTTTAAACAAAAAGAACGACGCAAGCATTTTACAGAAGCGAAGCGAGGTCATATTAGCAAGCTAGAAGCTAGAAGAATAATGACGTAATTATTGTGCTAACAGTATTTATACCATGTCTGAGGTGTAAGTAGAGCTAATCTGTGATTTGTTAATATTAGTTTTAGTTGCCCTTTTCCAGTAGCGTTACATAACGTAGAAAAATCTCGAATTTGGGAGAACACATGAATTTAGGCGGAGATCACCAAATAGAGAATGTTAATTATGAGATCCCTAATTATTTTTTTAAAGCAGCTATTGTATTTTGTTATATCTTACACACACACACATCATATATATATATATATATATATATAAAGAGAAGTATATGCTAATGCCACACACATTCATCAATTATGATTACAACTTTTGATGCAGCAATGAGACATTTCTCTCAGTATATTTTTACACGTTCGCAGATGTTAATAGATAGCTTCAGAGCTAAGTGCACTTAACTTGAACTATCCGTGTACCTAGTTTTCAAAATAATAAAATGAAATATGTTACAGTCCTAACTTTACAGCATTGTAGCAGAATCTGTATTGTTTCATAAGTGCAGAGTTTTAAACAAACGGAAAAGTTATAAACTAAGTACATTTTTATAGTGTTGAATAACACAGAGAAATGTGTCATATTAATGAAGTTATTTTAATTTTAATTAAGGTAAGTGACGAAAGCTATTTCAGTCACATATTGTTACTCTAAAACGTCTTCTCTAACGGATATGCATTCTGTAAGTAGCGCAGCATATCAAGCCAGTCCTTTCGTATTTTCTTGCTCATAACTTTACTATTTCCTAAAACAAAATGCAGCTATTTGATTAAGACGAAAAAAAAATTTGATGGTCTCGAAGACTTTAATTTAGCTTATTTATCAATTGAAATATGTCAGGTAGAAAGTTCAAGCATCTAATACTTTGAATCATATACGACGTATTATTATTAAAAATCATAAATGCCACTTCATAGAATTCATAAAGGCCTACTTGAAATGTGCTTTTTCAGAAAGCCAGTGATTCTCTGCATGCAGAAGCAATTTTGTGTGAACTTATTATACTTCTTTCCACGAAATCTAGTTTTGAATAAGCATGCGAATTTAATAACATTCCCTAATATTATTGAGCTTACTAGAATATCCAATATCTCACAGCATATAAAATTTTCAGGAAGCATCTTTCTATGAAAAAGCACTGGTTTCGTAAAATTTTTCGTTTCCTAACTAAACATATATCCACGGGATAAGCATCTTTTGTGAAACGTTCTATCACGATTTCGCTATTTTTGGTTTAAAGGAGACGGCACCGAAAATATTTTCATCCAGGGTGCCAAATACAGTAAAACTGGCTTAGGCTTAAATGTTTAAAATGTATAGCTCTATAAATTAAATAGCACATATAGAACAGGGTTATTAATAACAATACTGAGTTTGTTCAGCAATTAGTTAAACAAAATGTTTTTTAATAACCAACGATAATGATAATGCTTTTGTTAGATACTTGATCTATCTATCGTCATTTCACGTCCATGTTGTCAGCGGAAAAGACTGACTTCATGAGATTTATATCGTTGACCAAATGTCTAACGAAAACATCAGTTTCCTTTAGGAATTCTGCCACGAAAACATCTCCGAAGCTTTTGACTGCTTTACTCAAAATTAATAACCAGTAATTAGCTATTAACATGCAGTTCTAATGTTACCTGCTTTTATTACACATCATATCATGTTTGACGACTCCTTTTGTAGATTTTGCTTAGCAAAATGCCAAATTAATAGTGTTAATGAGATAAAAGAGATTAATTTGTATTATACTAAAGATTACGTGTTTTTTAAGTCCTTAACAAATTCAAAACTTGGATTACTGGCACGTAATTATTTCGTAAATATATACTATTCATAATTGTACAATAAATCTCGACTGATATTTAGGGTATTAAAAAACTGATTAGTATGATTAGTAGATTATGATGAAAATTTAAATTTATAAAACAAAGAATTAAAATGATGCTCATTTGAAAATTTTTACACTTAAAACTAATATGTGTTAATCGCTTTGAACACGTTTTTCATCGAACGTATCTTGGATGGCAGCGCTAGTTACTGGATTATATAGAAAACAGAACGTACATAGTCATATATATAAAAGATCATAAAAGAGAAAATGGAGCAACTTTCCATTTAAAAAGTTGGGGAAAGTGCAGAATCACCCACTGCTTCCCGCGTTTTTCAAAATGGCCAACTTGAAAATAACAAGTCAAAGAATTGCACAAACTCGGTATCCATGTACACATCGACTTATTTTTACTAAAAAAAAAAAAAAAGCGAATTGCACTTGGCATTGTGCACTCCCTTGACTTTGTTCGTCCATTGACACATCGATACATATAAGTGGACGATTCTGCACTTTACACAAAAAGTCTAGTGCACTTGAGTACAGTCTTAAAATTGGATATTAAAAACACTGACGTCGTAACTGTGAAAAGAATATAAAAACTTAACAATTAATAACAATTAACACAATTTAACTTCAAAATAAGCTAATGAAAGCAATGCAATAGATTCTACTAAGTATGAGCAACAAAAAACAAAAAAACAAATAAAAAATTGCGAAAAGAAATTCAGAATGCGTTGATAATGTCGGAAACTCGAAAACAAAATATTAAAAAACACAGATTAAATACTATTTAAACACATGCTTTAGATAATCCTATTATATTTATCTAATCACTTACATTTTTTTAAAATTTGTAACTGATTTAAAGTAAACATAGTGCATTCCATTATTCCCGTCTCCTTTCTTTAACATAAAGTTTAAATGCTTTGTGTGCAAAATTAAGAGCTACGTTCAATGGCATAAACATTATTTGCACAAGATTAACTCAATTAATTAAAAATTACATAACAAATGATGAAAACATTAATTCACATATGTCCACAAGGCTATTTTTCATAAAATAATTTCCAAAATTGATTTATAACTTAAAATTCTAATGATCAACAGTAAGACAACCTTTCTGGAAGAAGCTTTAAAAACTAATTTATGAAACTTTTGGAGCACAGAAAATTTGAATTCCAATAGCTTATTCAAGTTCAGGAAAATAAATGCTCATATAACATGTTATTTTTATTCATACACAAACCCTAATTTTTCAATATCTTTCATTAATTGCGTATTAATACTGTTCTTAAAGTGCATTCGATTCATATCGCGGAAGTAAACACTAACTAAATTATGCAAATTTTTAAATAAATTTTTTGACGACTGTAATGTTTGATTGATTTGCAGATATTATGCTTTTGAATGATATAAAATTTAAGAGAAATTTTAAAATGTAAATTTAAAGAAAAAAAAAAAAGGCACCCAATTTTCAAAGTTATCACTTTTAATTTTATGGAATGGCGATAAGCTACTCGTCCTCAGGAGAAAAGTATTCTTTACACTTTTTGTTTTGAAACGTTTGTTAGTCTAATAGCCTAAATATTAAACGTAGTAGTTGGTTAAGATACAATAAACTCAGAAGAAAAGAGGTTTGGTAAATGTACAAAAGACCAGTGGAATCGCACATCGAATAATGTTCTGAACATGAGATCGCTACCTAGAATATCATTTTAGCGTTGCAAAACAAGCGTGTTAAAACTTCCAGTATAAACATTTTACTTTTCTGTGATTATGAAAATGCTGTAATCATAACAGAAACGTTTAATATTCCGCCGACTTTCCGTACAGAACGAAATCGTCATAATGTAGTTGATATTTACGGCTTCCTATGTTACATTAAACCAACATTGTTTTGTAAATATGTTTGATATCTCTTGATGGAAAGCATTTGAAATGAATATCTGAAAATACTTACTCAGCACAGGGTCGAAAGACCGGTCTGACTCGTCTCTGATTGAAGTTGTAAAAACGGAAGGAAAATACAGACTGCGATAGAACAAGCAAGGTCAAAGCCGGTTAGTTATCCATTGGCTACCCAACCAAGTGACGTCAAGTGCACAAGGATACTGATGAAAGGAACATTTTGCGCAATGTTGATGTTACCAAAAGTCACAGAGGTCAGATATTTTTCTTTAAAGGTTTTTATTTTGAAAGAAAAGTTGCATAATAGGCTAGAGATGCTGAACCCGTGGCATGTCATAACGCAATAATTAAAAATCTCACTAAGGTGTCGATGGTGGGAATCTAAAATCTGAGAGCAAAATGCTTCGTACTTGCCTAATCTGAAAGATGTGTCCAATATATTATAGAATATTCATTTTTCTATGTAGTCCAGTTTGAAAGTGAACTGAGATTGTTATCACATTTCCATATTGAAATAGTTTAGTTCAAAGATAAGTGAGGTGAGCATCTAAAAAGTATTTGAAAGTAAAGATAGAACGTTATGGCATGCTTATTAGCATTTTTTTTTAACAAGGCAGTTTATTAGAATTTTTTTAACAAGGCAATTTTTTTTTATCCAAGATGCAAATCATCTATACTTTTTTATCCACAACTCTTGTTCTGCCAAACTGCTAAGTTCTTAACCTCGACCCTTTCAAATCAAATGAACCTTGAACTAAAATAAATCAGCGTAGGAACAAAAAAACAATTGAAATTACGATGCATCTACGTCCACATTTGAATTCTAGCATTTCTAATTTCCAACTGAAGCATTTTATCCATGGAGTCATATTCAGTGCTATGTTTTATGCTGTACAGCTTTCATTTTTTAGTTGCAACAAATTTGAATTTTAAAAACATTATTTTTGTTCAACCATACCTAAAATTAGCAATTTGCAATCATATTTTAAAAATTCAGCTGATAAAGCAGAAATTTTAGCATCTTGTTTTCATTTGTTTCTTATTGTAAACCATTAGCGCTAAATTTCATTTTTTAAACCAAAGCTTCTTATTTAAGCCTTTTTATTTATTCGGATGCAAAGAGTATTTTAATACAGATATTTTAGTGTTAGCGTTTAATTATAGTCTCACAATTTATTTTCAAGAGAAGATCTGAGTAAAATACTAAATTAATGTACTCAGTCCTTTTTTTTTTAGGCAATTCATTGGTTAAAAATAAACTTTGGAGCACTTTTATTCGATTCGTCAAATAAAACTTTTTTTTTAATCTTTATTCTGTGAACGTTTTATATTGCGAAAACAATTTAATTTCAGAGTCCTATTTCAGTTTTTGAAATGAATAAAAATACTTCTTTATAATAAACTATATTAAATATTCCATAAACATTTATTTTTATAATATTAAACATTTATTTTCATAAAATTTAAGCATTATATGAAAGTAGTGAAGTACAGATATTACAAAATATTCTCAGTGCAACATGCAAATCGATCAGGAACTCACGACTGGGTAAAAAGATAAAGCCTTTGAGAAAATTTCTGCATTTAGACGTAGACGCTTTGAATCTGGCATTCGATAAAGAACTATAAACACTCGTATAATGGCGCTGCGAAAATACCATCTTTATCAACAGAGTACTATGGAAATATAAGATAACTTTATTTTTAAGTAATATTTAGTTTCATTTTAGAGATGTTACGAAACGTATCGTAATAGGTCTAAGAAGTGAGACGTGTGTATGTATTACGTTTTAATAAACGGTAGTTAGTTATTGACGCTTTTAAAAGTTTAAAATTTAAAAAATAAATCAGATTTTAACTTATAGATTAATATACACCAAAGCTAACATTTTAGATTTTAACTTAGGCATCAAATCAAAAGTGGAATAACTGTAAAGAAAGAGTTATTGAAATTTCGAGTATTATTCTCATAATCATATTTGAATTATGTGCTGATATTTCTTAAATTTAATTCGAAACAATTAAAAATGGAAAATGTACTAATGTTATCACTTAATGTATATTTTTCATCATCTGAAATATATTTATTTACTTTACTGCAATTTTAGTTTAAAGACTTATCTGATAACTTCTGCGCAAACTTATGTATTCACTGATTATTATTAATTAAAAATTATTATTAGTTAAAACAGTTAAAAATTTGATAATTGAAATTTTTGTTTTATTTAATTTTAAAATATCTCTGGAGGTGAATAACTTAAAACTATTTATCAAAATGTATGTTTCTTTGGAAAAGAAAATACATATCAGATATAAAGCTAATAAAATTATTGACTGAAGCTGATAAATAGCAACTGACTAGTAAAAAAAAAAAAAAGCAAAGTGTCTTACATATGAGTATGTGTGCATGGCTTAATTTAAAAAATTAGAAGGCCGCAGCCTGATAGAAGGCAGTAAGGAAAGACGAAAAAAAAATGAATCAAAGTATCAATAAGTTCAGTAGATATATAGTAAATAATAACAATATATAATCAGATTTAAATAAAATAATAACACAAACGAAAGGTTATGGTATCAAGGATATTAAAAAAATAAATATTTTGAACACATTTTTCGCAGTCGATGAAATCGTTTCTTCATTTTGATTTTCATCTCTTTTTGGTCGAATGAGTTACACGAAATAAATATCCATCTTCCTGAAGGATCGCATTATTCAAGTTTTCCTGTTTATTTTACTCTTCTCAGGAAGAGGGAGTTATTCAATTTTAATGTTACTAACCGCTAACTGGAAAGCTTATTTTAGTAAGAGAAATGAACCATTTTTCTATTTAGTGACACCAGCGCTTATATTATTGGAGTTCAGGCACTCTTCAGCTGAAATTATGAGAGAAATTATAAGAGAAATTATGATTTCTCTTAAAAGCTGAATTTAGTTGAATTTAAGCCCTGAATATGTGTATTTAAGTGTGAAAATTTTATAACTGAAATACCAGAGCAGAAGAGAACTGAACTATATAACATGTGTAAATGTTACATGAGTAATGTTAAGCTTGCTTAACATTTAGTACATGCTAAACACTTACTAGGTACACTTAAATTACTTACTGGGTCACTGAGTGCTTTTTCCACAACACTACAGTTTCTAATTCATTCGTGATGTAAAGGCACTGGTTTTGCCTCATGATATTCTCCATTTAAATTGTTTAATACGTAGACCAATCTTTTCCGAACTGTATTGCGCGGAACACAGATGTTCCTCAAAAGTCATAAAGTGTTCCACTCAGAATTATGAAGCAGAGATTAGACAGCAACAAAATATTGCCTACGTCTATCTATGTAATTAAATTTAAAACAACTCTGAAAAGAAAAATATAGAATTATGTAGAAATGGAGAATAGAGATTCGCTAGAAAAGAATAAATTTGGCTGTTTTCCTGTCTTAGATGACTATTTAAAGCAGGAAAGTTTAAAAATACACAGTAAAATTTACAACCAAATATTACAGCATTTACATGACTTGCATTTAATCGTTTGTCAGTATACCCGCATTCCTAGGAAAACAGTTATTGGATACGAAACATTTCACGACGACAGCTAAGCCACCAGATATGATGAACGCAGCTGATTTTTTAAAAAAATATATATATTTGTTACGAAACAAAACTTTAAAAAACTACCGTTAAATAAATTTTGAATGTGTTCGCGAAAATAACATTAAATTTATCAAAACAAGCTATTAATATTTTTATTTCCTTTTGCGACAACGTATATGTGTGAGGTAACTTACGTTGCAACAAAATCCAAATATAGAAATCGACTTAATGCTGCGTTTGATAAAAGAAGTTAGTTTTTTCAAACATATTGGCTGACGTTAATAGCAGTCTGACAAATTTGTAACTTGAAGATTCAAACCAAAATTATTCAACATTTTTTATATTGTTTGTTTCATATAATAAGTGTTTTTATAGTATTTGTTTCAATTAATTATTGCTATGTTTCTTTTTTTACTGCTTTGTGCGAAGTAAAAGAAGTCGAGAACAACTCCAGTTATCCGAATCAATTGGAACCGGATCCCATTCGGATAATCAAAAATTTGGATAATTGGATTTTTTCCGAAGAAAAGGTCTGCGTGCACTTTAATTAATTAAAGTATTTACTGTATGTTGAAAATGGGAGAAAAAAACTATTTTTAAAGAAAAAGAGATTTTAATTAATTTAAATGAAAAGGCAACACTTTTACGTACGTGTTATATAGCATACTGTACAGCACTTACAAGTGCTAAAAGTCATTACTTGCTAAACATCTGGGGCAAAGTAAGCTCTTTGACTGTCTTCATCCGTTTTCGGGCAGCTAAGTCGCGCATCCGCTTGACATATTAAGGTCATCTTCTTCATCCACACTTTCTCATCTCACACTTTCAATAAGTTCATTATCATTTACAATTTGAAACCCAGGGTTTGACGAATCCCTCACCATTTGCTCCTTTTAATGTCTGAAATCGTTGATTGTTCAATACCGTACATCTCAGGCGACTGTTTACTTGTATCTCCTTTATCCGATTGCTCTATAATTTTTAATTTATCCGCTAACGGTAACACGACACGTTTTCTTTTAGAAGCCGCGGTGAACGACGAAACTTTTCCGTCTTAATTTTTTTCTTAAATTCTGGAAGCGATTTGGATAATCAGCGATTCGGATAGTCGGAGTTCAGATAATTGGAGTTGTACTGTACTGTAATCGCGAAGAATGTCGGGTATCATATTTCAACAAAAGTATGCATTTGGACCATTCCCGAATCTTGCGTTACATCTGCTCGCATCGAATAGAATAAAGGTCATAAAGATAGAATAGAATAAATAGATTCAAAAGGGTTTTTTTTTTTTCGTTCATACGTACGTAATGTATGTATGTGCATGTCTCTACCTAAATATGTATATAAGTGTAAAGAAAAGCAATCTTCCAGATGTGAATGAATATTCTCAAGATAAGTAAGCACAGAAAAAGAACTGAAGAAACGTTCTATTTACTAATTTAGGTTTCTGTGTATATCTACTGTACTGTACAAATTAATTGGTAAGAAACAGTGTTTTCATAAAATTTTAAGTTGATTGCCAGTTGGCGTCAACAGATCTCTGAAAGGAGTTTTATCTGCCTTAATATCACCTGGATGTCTGCTTGTGAATAATTAGAATTGGTTTAGGCAATAAATTAAGATTATCGCACCATTTTAATGTAATTTCTGTGAGTAGAGGAA